CTCAAATGATCCTTGTGAGAGTCGTTTGCATTCTTCATGTTCACGTCCATGTTCTTTGCGTGAATGAAGATGAAGAATTTTAAATCCCAGAGATGTCATTTTTTATTGTTATGCTTGCCGTTGTTTTATTCCATTTCTTTTGATAATAATGACGGGCGTTAAGTTTTCAAATATTTTTAAAGGTTAATCTAATAATGTTTCTACACTTTAGAAACACACTTAAATTAACCTTTTTTGCTATCATAGAAATAAAGGAACATCAAAGGCAGTCGCAACTGAATAAGTAATTGTTTCTGGGCGAGCGAAGGCCATCTCTCTCTCTCTCTCTCTCTCTCTCTCTCTCTCTCTCTCTCTCTCTCTCTCTCTCTCTCTCTCTCTCTCTCTCTCTCTCTCTCTCTCTCTCTCTCTCTCTCTCTCTCTCTCTCTCTCTCTCTCTCGCTCTCTTGCTCTCTTGCTCTCTTGCTCTGCTCTTGCTCTCTCGCTCTCTCGCTCTCTCGCTCTCTCTCTCTCTCTCTCTCTCTCTCTCTCTCTCTCTCTCTCTCTCTCTCTCTCTCTCTCTCTCTCTCTCTCTCTCTCTCTCTCTCTCTCTCTCTGTATATGTATATATATATATATATATATATATATATATATATATATATATATATATATATTATATATATATATATATACATATATATAATATATATATATATTATATATATTATATATATATTCATATATCTAGTTGCCAATCTGTGTATCTATCTGTCTGTTTGTCTTCCATGCGAGTTAATGTGCCTGAACATGGATCTGAATGTATGTGAATATAAATTCCTATAGTTCTGAAGCCTTATAGCAGCTCGTACATTAAACTTAACAATATCAAATGAAGATATCCGAGCGTCTTAGATCACTGCCACGATAGTCTCCCCGGAATTAAGTTTGTAACGAATGTGTCTTGGATAAAATCGTCCATTGATATATCACCTGTACTTTTTAATTACATTAGTTATGTGTCTGCACTTGCCTGCGCGTGTTTGCGTGTGCTGTACTTTTGCCGTGTGATTCATAACTGTGAATCAGTGTTCATGTATATGCCTGGATCCACTCCGAATGTGACTGTGCTTGTGTGTGCGTTTTGAGTGTACACGCTTGCCTGCCTGCTTGCCTATCAACATATGTACGTCCGCGTGTGTCTGTCTGGTATGTAGGATTGTATTGTGTTTCTCGTATGTGTTTGTACTTGGCTGTTTACTTGTACACATGTCTTAGAGCCTCCCCCTGGGTATGTGTGTTCGTTTGTGTGTCTGTTTACTCATCTCACTCACCACTAACCTTTCCTACTCATCTAACTGGAAGGTTTTCAAAGGTCGTCGCCTTGCGTCAAGCTCTTCATTAATAATTAAAAACTTTTCCGATAATTGTTCCTTTTATAAGAGGACCTCATTACGAAAGCAGTCGGGCTAGTGATGTTCTGACGTCATAGTTTTGTATGTGACGTCATTGGGATTTCTTTGCTATTATAAGAAGAAAATTTTAATATGTTCATGTTCATACATATGTACTTGTGGTTTGGGTAAAATGTGAATTATATATCTGTTAAAAGGAATTCAATTTTATGAACGTTACACACCACCTTATGCAGATATAAAATGATGTATAAATCAATGTTTATATATGTGTGTGTGTGTGCTTGCGTGTATGTGTGTGTGTGTGTGTGTGTGTGTGTGTGTGTGTGTGTGTGTGTGTGTGTGTGTGTGTGTTTGTACCTGTGGGTGTGTGTGTGTGTTCAGTTTGTGTGTGTTTGTTTTTGTGATTGTGCGTGTGAGTGTGTTCAGTGCGTGTGTGTGTGTGTGTGTGTGTGGTGAGAGAGAGAGAGAGAGAGAGAGAGAGAGAGAGCGTGTGTGTGTGTGTTTATGTACATTTTTATATGCACAACTGCCAGTCATACTGCATAAAATCTATGAGCGACTTCCATACAGAAATCATCTGAAACTTAAACAAAACAAAGCTGTCCATTACAGTCAGTTAAGCCGATTTCTCCAACAAAGGTTTTTTATGGTGTTGCCGCGTGACACTTTTGAGACCGCGACCACAAGCCACCAAATATCATCAACATTTTTAGTCTCGCATAGTAAATCACGTTCCTTTCGCATATATACACAGTACTACATCTAATTATAAATTTATAGTTTCTGAGCCACCATATCGACACCATAGATACCAAATAAAATTTCTTTCCAACAATTTCGCGCTATACGTCAGAACGTCACTACAAGTGTAAAACTATCTAGTAAAAAATAATTTCTCGCTAACACCATAACCATTAAATAGACACCATTCAGTGTCCAATTAACTTAACCAACTGTTTACTCACTATTCACCATCCCCTGCAACATACACACTTGATAATGCAACAATCACTAATACCCTAGCACCAAAGCCACTATATAAGCCACTAATTACCACCATAGCGCCATAACCAGATTACCAGTCACCATGTCGTCAGCACCATAACCCCTCATTTGTTCCCCAATCACCATTACTTCAGCATAACCATCATATAAGCACCAGTCACCATTATCCTTGAGCCATAACAACCAGACGACCATTCACGCCTCACAGCCACCACTTTGGGATCACGCCCCGCCTACCTGCTGCCTCCTGCCGACACCGCGGGTCTAATCTGACTAGCACGGTATCACCCCTTCCCGGCAGTGTAGGCGGAGGGCCCTGTCAATATATTTTGTCTTCCTTCCTTTGTCTCTTGCTTTATTGTTATTGCCCTCAATTATCTTCTTGCATTATCCCGCTAGTACCAAGCCGGGTATTGATGAATACTAGGGGGGGGGGGGGTAAGGAGGCGGATGAACAGCTAGTTTTTGTCATGGTATGACACATCTAAAAGCAGAGAATATTTGCTTACCAAGTGCATCTATGGACTTATTTGTCTGTGTTTGCGCGCGCACGTGCGCTTATGTATAAATGTACATATATACATATTCAATATATGTGTATACATGTGTGTGTGTGTGTGTATCTGTGTGTACACATGTGTATAGGCACATTATACACACACATATCTATATCTATATATCTATATATAATATATATATATATATATATATATATATATATATATATATATATATATATATGCATATGCATACATACGTAAGAGAAAGAGCCTTTCTTAATAATGCATTCAGAGGCCTTAGTCCTGTTTTTCTTAAACAACAGACATATATATATATATATATATATATATATATATATATATATATATATATATATATATATATATATTGTGTGTGTGTGTCTGTGTATGTGTGTGTGTGTGTTTGTGTATGTATATATGTGTGTTATATTTTCTTATCTTCTTATCTATCTGTCTATACACATACACATGCGCACACGCTTCTGTAAGTATATGTATGTGCACAAACACAGTTTTTTTCTATGTAAGGCAACATTCTTTCTTCCAAAAAATACAAAACCGTCCGAGTTTGACAGTCATTTTTTTTTATATATACTATATGCATTTGTTAGATATTTACAAAATCGATAAACTCATCGCAGATGGCATATCAAATTATAGCAAAATCGATGTGTAAACATGGCCCACATATCACGGGAAAAGTTTTTATTTTCATTACCTACAATATACCTTAGATCTACAAAATATATTTATTTATCTAAGAGTGACACTCATGCATTAGGACTGTGAAGAAAAAGAAATCTAAATGTTGCTTGCAAAGGTCAAATAACACATTGGCATTTACTCTAGTTGGGAACTGCACTCACAAGTAAAAATAGCATGTGGCAAAAAGGTCATACTTTGCAGGTTATCGTTTGAGGAATGATAGATAGCATATCCGTGTGCAGGGGTCATGGTCATCCTAAATACATTTGAAAATCAAAATACTGGATTTGATAGATATTAAGATGCATACTTCGTTTTCTAACTTTGTGTAAGAAAACCAACTTGCGAAAAGGGTAACATTGGTGAATATTGTAGGTTAGTAGTCCCTTTTAACCCGCCTCATATTAGATTGGATGTTACCTCGTAAAAAAAAAGGTAATTTATAAGTAGTATCTTAAAGGTTTACATTGGCATATTCAAACCTTATCGATTTTATTCCTGTCTTATTGATATATGTGTATCGACTAGGTTTTATGTATGATTCTAGTCCTTATAAATGTACAATGTCCTATTTTGCCCGTGACGAGAAAGAATTGCCGAAATGTTTTAATTTGATAAAGCGCATTGAAACCTATTTGTATGATGAGCATCCCTTAATCATGCTTTAAATTTTGGCTTAAATAACCTTTAGAATAGGCAATGTTCAGTAGCAAGTAAAAATGGCAATTATTTTACGAGACAATCGCAGATGCTCAAATCTCGTAAAATTTTTAGATGATCTGAACGCTTGACATCGCTTTATATCTATAAAACGGAGATACGGCTTTGAAATGTATTTGAAAAATTGTGGGTTTTGACAATGGTTAATATTCTAGAAGATTCGCCTGGAAAAAGTGGTGTTTCAAATTTTCAACGTTTGCCGTTTTTAGCTCCATGTCCTACGTCCAGAGAAACTGATTGGCTATTACATCGTTGCTAAGGGATCACTTTTGCAGCCAAGATCATAGGTGATGGCAGGAAAATACTGGTGACGTCTTCTTTTCCTTTTTTTTTTTTTTTTTTTTTTTTTTTTTTTTTTTTTTTACTCGCATATATTGGATTTTCCATAACGATTAAGGTGTTTACTTCCCATAAAGACAATGTACGCAGAGACATATAAGAAGACAAAGAAATCTTCAGGCTGACACCAAAGAGTTAACTCATGCCTGTTAATTCTTCAGCACATTATGATGAGCAACTTCTCCCAAGCTCTCACTCGTCTCTCCTTGTCACTCTGAAGAGAAATTCACACGTTTAAGCCTTTGTCGAGTCCTCCTAACAGCTCTTTCCGAAGGGCAAGTGACACGGTGACATTTAATCATGTGAGAATTCTGCCGTCAGGAGTAAGGTTATCATGTCTGCAAGGTCATACAGCTTCGAGTGGGGAGGGATGAAGATCATATCCAGTGTCTGTGAAATGATTTGTGTCGTTCTGCATCCCAAGAAACCCATGCGTACTTACGAGAGGAAGAGTCAATTCTGGTTATAACTATGATATGATTCTTAAAAAATGCACGTTTTCTTTGCAATAGCATATTCGTATCATGATTTTTAAGTCTATATACATGTTTTCTTTTTGTTTTACGCTATAGAATGGCGAGGGGTTAAGCACTTTAGTCAAACCAATATCGAAAAAACAAAGGAAGTCAGTTATAAACATTTTCTCTTTCATTTCCATCAAACAATTATCTAGATGTTTTATAAATAGCAAATAAAACGCCAAGACGGAGTAAGTCAGACGCACTTCCCCTGCTCCAAGTTGGCCGAAAGGGATCGCGAAAGAAAACAAAACATTGATTCCGTTTGACCGTTGGCGCCACTGGTACCGAATGAATCGTGTGAGGAAGAAGAGCAAAACATGATCTTTTTTTATAGTGACGTGTTATTTGGTCACCTTCTCATGTATTTGGAAAGCGTTTGATCATTCTGAATCATGAATGTGGTGTGCGTTTGTAGACAGCTGTAGGAGATATCAGGGACGCTTTCTCGCGCGCTAGCGTACACATACTCATATATGTGTATGTATATATATATATATATATATATATATATATATATATATATATATGTGTGTGTGTGTGTGTGTGTGTGTGTGTGTGTGTGTGTGTGTGTGTGTGTGTGTATGTGTGTGTGTGTGTGTGTGTGTGTGTGTGTGTGTGTGTGTGTGTGTGTGTGTGTGTGTGTGTGTGTGTGTGTGTGATATATACATGCACACACACACACACACACACACACACACACACACACACACACACACACACACACACACACACACAATATATATATATATATATATATATATATATATATATATATATATGTGTGTGTGTGTGTGTGTGTTGTGTGTGTGTGTGTGTGTGTGTGTGTGTGTGTGTGTGTGTGTGTGTGATGTAAAATACATCTCTTGCACTATGAAGATATTCAAACTCATTCAAACTTTTTCGTTTTCTACTTTGCCGCAGTGTAAACGGTTCATCAGCATCATCTGCATTGTCGTCATTATCATCACCATGCCATTATCATTATAATCATCATCACCATTATCAGCATTAAAACTCGTCAGCATCAGTACTTTTCTTTATCCTTCATCTTTGCTCGATTTCTTTAAAATCCATTTATTAGGTTCAATCTACAGATACTGAGATACGGCTGCCTAACTACGAGTACTGCTGAGACAAATATTTTGCAGTGGAATTCACACGCCTAAGCATTACTCGACATTTCTTCACAACGATCATCGGTCAACTTTTCAAGGGCACGTAAATCACCCCGAAATAGGCGTGCCTTCAAAACATTTTAATGATATTACAACGACACCGCTATTTTAGATTTACTCTCAGACGTCAATACTGTGGATGATCGTGAAAATTATATGAAAAAATGCCTTATGTCTGGTTCCTGTAGTTCCCCTAATGATGAGGGTTTATGACGAAAAGAGTGATAATTCTTATCTTGGGTCTGGATCATGACTCGGGCAAGACAGGCGGAACCTCGGCCTTTTTTTCATCATTTTTAACATCATCATTTTTAGCGATTTTTTATTATGAATGTTCCACGTATGGTAACTAGTGTTAATGTGCGTTTTCAAATAGTTTCTTATATCTTAATTATATCAATTGATATTATTCATGTCAATAAATATTTTAGTACAAGAAGTAGACAGGAAGGGGAGGGGTAAATATAAGTTGTATGACGCATATGCACTCGTGTGTGAAAAACTGTGGCATGGTAAGTAAAAAGTTGGCTATCGCTGTTCTAAGTTGTTCTTTATAAATTGTCCAGCGGAACAGTAATCAGTTTAGTAGGGATGTCAGCCTGACTAAAAGTAACATTTCGTTTTCTTCTTCTCCTAAGGTTAAAGGGCTTTTTAAAATGAAATGATCTATTGCAAATGTGTGACTACCATAAAACACATTAAGGAAATAGGTATGTAATGGAGCAATTACACATACACTTACTACATGTGCTGCATCACGCATATATTTGTGCTTGTTTTTGTTTGTACAGAAATGTGATATTACTTCTTAGCACGGCAATTTCAATTGGGAGTGACACTCATGTTCAGAATAGAATATCAACATGAATAAGAGTAAGAATTCTGCTAATATTAACTGAAGCTGTTAAATATAGCTAATAGATAAATGTATGAGTAAATTATTAGTTATTTACAAGTTTTAAATAAGTCGCATAAAAACGAAACTATTGTGAGGTCATTAGTATAATGAAATCTCTACAGATAAAACCGGGTTATATAATCAAGACCACACAAAAGCGACTTCATCACGAGCTCTAATTCTCTAAAAAATAACATTCACAGCCACACCGTCCAGCCACATGACATAATTACTGACACACATATATAGAGATTGGCATATATGATATATAAAGTGTAACGCAGTTACATTTTCACATCCTCTGAACCGCCATAACGCGAACCGGATGTTATGCGGGGGGCGGAGCTGAAGACCTTCGACGGAACAGCTGAGAACACACAACAAACACTGGAGTTGTGGATTTACGTGTGTAAGCATTTTTGTGCAGGTGCAGTGATTTTTATAGTTTTTTATTGGTTTTACTCAGGGGGAAAAAATGTAATTGGGAGGTAAGGATAAGGTACACAAGGAGACATTGCTGGAGAAGGTCATATGATGTACAAATGGGTGAAGGTCAAGGATTTCTTGGAATCTAGTGATCTTGCAGATTATTTTCCGTGTTCATGAGCCACAGGAAGTGAACTGGAGTCTGATTGCGATTGTGAGGCTTTGGGTTTGTGTTAATAGGCTGTCGATTCTTCACATATTGAAAGAGAAATCGCAGAAATGATAATGTAGAAGTGTTGTGATTTGTAAGAAAAAGTCAGTGTTATAATCAAAATTACGTGTTGATTAATTTTTGGAAATACGCATATTGTGTTTATTTAAGATAAGAATAATGCATGAAGCCTGTTCTTGAATATTGGCAGTTAGCTTTAAAACTATTGGCTTTGCTTTTTTATGTCATGTTTAGGTGAAGACATTTCTTGGTAAATGTTTGGAATATCTTCACATGACAGATCATGATGATGGATTCCTCTCACCTGCTCCTGCCCAAATTTAAGGATATTATGCTGGGGAAACCCTCCAAAAACCCAAAGTCTTGGGCCTGATAGCAGGTAGGGCATGAATGGTGTGAGGGAAATTGTAGGGTAAAATACAAGTAACATTCAGAAAAATAATCCAAATATAGTCAAATGCAGGGGTCTCTGTTCTCTGCACTCCCCACCCTGGATAACAAAAAGTCCTCCGCGTATGTAGGGTAAAATGGAGTATAGGACAATCTCAGCATCAGCCGTTCCCACATGTTGGTAGTACACTCTACCCTGTGGTGAACACATGAAGGATTCTTTGTCTTCCATTGCAGGGTTTGGGAATGGTAGCTCCCAGTAGGGGGGTTGCAGTGGGCACATTCCCCTTTATTAGACAAAATAGGAACTAATTCTGTGTATATTATTCATATTTTACCCCACAATTTTTCTAGTATCTTTCATGCCCTATCCTATCTGGCCCAAGATTGTCACTATTAGGGGGGGTTCCACTGTATGATCTCAATATATTTGGATGGTAAAGAGTGAAAAGATTCCATCAGTACCATAATTGTTGTGATAAGTTATTTGAAAGTATCCTGAATAATTACCCATTTCTTGCACCAGCATACCAAGAGGATCATTATGATTACCATGCAAATTGTTAGCAAAATCTTTATGCAAAAATGAAATTTATTAAAATCTAGTTTTCCAGTGTAATATGCTGTGTTACCAGTTTTTAGTTCTGTGGAAGAACTGTATGAAATTATTTTAAATAGGTAGTGGTCTTAGTTCAATAAGAGTAATTGAGGGTTGGTGCACTTGCAATTCATTTGAGTTTATATGTCCTAGATAGGGGCAGCCTTCTGCAGCATTTATTGAAGGTATTGGTTAATGCGCATAATGTACATCATATCATTATACATGAATATCTACTTCTACCTTTTATTAAAATTATTAGTATTAGTATTATTAGTATGTATATATATATATATATATATATATATATATATATATATATATATATATATATATATATATATATAGATATAGATAGATAGATAGATAGATAGATAGATAGATAGATAGATAGATAGCTATAGATATATAATGTATATTATGATGATAGTGTAGTCACTGATTAATTTAAGAAACTTTATTAAAATTCATAATACTGCATTTCTGACAAACTTTTATATCTACTGTTGCTATATAATCACAGTAGTCAATTATGTTCAGACTTTAAGAAGAAGTATGAGGATTTTGTATTTTATATTATGTCCAAAGAAAATACAGATTGTTATAGGTAACTCATATGATATTTGAGATTGAATATGCTATATCCAGATAAATACTTTTGTACCAAAAATCAAAGATTTTTTTAGGGGGGATAATATATTTGTATATACACTTTTGCTTTTTATATTATCTCTCACTCAAATGCTAATAGGATTTCCTCTCTTATTGCCAGAGAACCAAAGTCTTCAAGACCACACATCAAATTAGTTGTCTGAGCTTAGAAATTATGCTTTTATGCAAGTAAAGTCAGGTCATCTTTGGAATTCTGATATCATTACAGCCACAAAAGTAAGTCTTCTTGTTGAGTTCAAGGCAGTCACTTTCATTGTATTTATTGTAATTTGTTATTAGACATTATGGTTATTATAAAAAAAAAATATCAAGGAGTGTTGTGGCCTTTGTGTTTCATGCTGTACCATGTATATTCTGGCTGAGTTTGGGCCATTTCCTTACTTGATAAGGCATTCAGACTCTCT